ATGAAGTTAGTACTAAAGAATTCCCATTTATCCTTCCCCCAGAATTACCCATTGTTAACATTTTGCCATATTTGTTTTACCATTCTCTTTTTCCTTCTCTCCTGGTGGAGTCACGGTCACTCTCTCTCTTTCTCTCCCCCCTTCTACACATTTTTTCCTAAACCACTTATGATTAAACTACAGACAAAATTTCCCTTCCCCCAGTTTCTTCAATGTATATTTCCTAACAATAGGGATGTTCACAGTACAATTATGAAAATTAGATCTTGCTTTAATACATTTACAAGATCTGAGTCACATTTTGCCAATTGTTCTAACAGTGTCCTGCATAGTAATTTTTTTTCATACAGAATCCAATGCAAAATTAATCATAAATTGCATTTAGTCTCCGTGTTTCCTTAGGCTCCTTTACTCCAGAATGATTCCTTAGCCATTCTTTCTCTTTCACAACACTGACAATTTGAAGAGTACAGGCCATTTGGAACAATGTGCCTCAATTTGAATTCATCTGAAATATTCTAATTATTAGATTCAAGTTTAGCATTTTTGGCAGAAATAACACAAGTATTGTAATGTCTTTCCACTATATCCCACCAGGAGGCACATGATGTTAAGTTATGCACATTGGTCATCATTAATAGCTAGTCTTGAAGTTCTTCAGTGAACCATATCTCCAGTTTTCATGGTCTTATGTAGTCCCATACTTGAATCTAGACTAGCCCTATAGCTTGTAACTAATAGAATATGACAGATGTGAGTCTGTGTTACTTTCACTAGATCCGAACTTTTCAGCTTTTGCTGTCCTTGGAATGTTTGGTTGGAACGCTCTCGATAGGGGTAGGGGTAGGCAATAGTCATGAGAAGTGTGACTGAGACCACCAAGCTGTGAGGAAGCCTGGCTAGCTGTCTGGCCAGCACCCGACTGTGTTTCAGCCATTCTAACCACCAGATGTCTGAGTAAAGCAGCCATCTTAGATGTTTAAACAAATTGATATTGGACTTTTGGATGAATCAAGTCCCAGCCAACATCTGAATGTAACTGCATGAGAGATCCCAACTGATCCCCTTCAATCCACAGAACTATGAAAAATAATAAGTTATTTTAAGCCACCAAATTTTATATAGATCACCAGAATAATAATATTAACTTTGATCATTTGGTTATAGTGTCTATCAGGTTTGGCCATTCTATAGTTATTTTTTCTTATTAGCAAAAAATTTGTAAGGAGTCAGTTTAAGATATTATTAATGTCATTTTTTTCTTTAACTTTCAGCTGTTAGTTTTAATAAGCTAGAATGAAATATTACTATGATAGTTGCAAAATGGTAATTAAAAAAACCCTCAGCCTGTAATCCTAGGTGGAGGGGGGAGAATCACTTGAGGCCATAATTTTGAGGTCAATCTGTGCAAGAGTGAGACTTTGTCTCTATAAAAAACAGACAAATTAGCCAAGCATGGTGGTATTTGCCTATACACCCAGCTACTTGGGAGGCTGAGGCAGGAAAATTGCCAGCGAGCTATAATACTACTATATTCTAGCTCAGGAGACAGACCAAGATCCTGTCTCAAAGTGAAACAACCCTTCTATTAGTTCTTTTACAATTTATTAGTTAGCATTCTGCTGTAAAAAGGAGGCTTACCTCCTTATTAGTGTGTGTTATGGGTTTTCATTTTATTCAGTGAGTTAAAACTGTTAATATCTTTTACTATCATTGTTTACTTTGATGATCAAATTGTCCCAGATTTGGCCAAAGGGAGCCCATTTGAGTTGATTTCTTATGCTGTGGAAGATTTTGAAAACTTTCTTGCTTTTTGCTGAGGAGACTGGTTTCTTGTAGTAGGAAATGGTATTTAGAGACTGCAGTACGTGTGCTATAATGCTTATTGCTATTATTTTGGTCATTGTTTCTAGGGTTTTTCAGTAGATAGGAATTTCTTTTTAGGAGTTAATATATAGTGAGTTCATACTGGTATTTCCAGTTCAAATTTAAGAATATAAACTTATTATATCTCTCTGAGTTATTAACTCTGATTTTATATTTTCTTTCTTTCTTTCTTTTTTTTTTTTAAGAAGTAGTCTGATTTTTTGTCTAGGCTGAAGTGAAGTGGCATCATCACAGCTTTGCTGCAACCTCCACCTCCTGGGCTCAAGTGATGCTCCTGCCTCAGTCTCTTAAGTACCTGGGACTATAGGCAACCATCACCATGCTTGGTTAATTTTTCTGTTTTTTGAGGTGATGGGCATCTCACTTACTCAGGCTGGTCTTGTATTCTTGCACTCAAGCAGTCCTCCTTCCTTGGCCTCCCAAAGTGCTAGGATTACAGGCATGAACCACCTTGCCCAGCCTAGGAATAGTTTATATTTTTTCAGTTCTTTTTGTCTTAGCCTATATCCTACTATGGACCCAGTAAGTAAATTATATTACACGTCTAAAGTGTACTACAGGGCATCCAAGAGCAGTGAGAAATCACACTGGTACATATATCACATAATCAAAAATGGCAAATAAGCCCCTTCTAGGATGGAGATTTTAGTATGGTAATGAGCTAGGGGTTAATAGTAGTTATCCTTTTAGTTCTGTGCTCATTTTGGTGATGTGGAGTGAGTTGCTCAGTGGGTCCTTGGGCAACATTTGGGCTAGTAGAATGCCACTTCTCTTGACTTCTCTGATCAACTGAGTACTGTAAGGCATAGTGGTTATCTTGCTACTGCAAGGAGGGTCAACTTTCTGACAACTCAAAAGGGAGGAATAGTGAAATAGAAAACTACAAAGTTCTGGTCAGCAAATTTTACTGGTATGGGAACTTGAAAAAAACTGCAAAAAGGCATTTTTTTTTCACAGAGCTGGTCACAGTTTTGTCTTTGTCAAACATAATCTTTTAAAAATAATTCATCTTGAGAATAGTCTGACAAAGTTTAGTGTGAGCTAGATAAATCCTGACATTCTTGGTGGTCTAAAGATGAAATGTGTGAAGCAAATCGGAGCCTATAAAGTGTCCCATCCTTTATGCCTAAGTATTAGGTTGTGTTGATCAGATTTGTGTTCCTGAGCGAGATATTATGGAATTTCTTCAAAGATTCAGAGAAGGAAAAATGATGGAAAGAAAACCCAAAATGAGAACTACATTTTTTAAGCAGCCCATTGCCATGGTTTTTGGAGGGATGGGGGATAATACTGAGGGATTTTTACCTGCTTTTTGCAGGGGTAGGGAGGGGGGAACGAAGAAAATCTGATGACAGCATTGCCACTTTGGCCAGCGTCTCAGGGATATAAACAGATGGATCACAACGTCAAACCCTGATGGACAACCTATTTGAACAATAATTTCCCCTTCCTTCTGGATCACAGGCTGTTTTCTTTCCAAAGAAGTGGACTCCCTCTCACAGCCTTCCTGGGGTACAGCTGAATGGAGTCTCACCTACCCTTTTTACTAGGAGGAAAAGGGAATGCGAATACACCACTTCTACCAGCCTCGGCTGCACCGTGAGGCACCTGGAATCCCTGGATGTGCAGACAGCTTCTCAGAAATACAGTCGAGGGCACAGGAGGGCAACCGCCAGGAACTGTGGTAGATAAAAGGAGAGAGAAAGCTAAAGGGATCGGAGGGAGGGCATTGTCCTACTTTTTTACTTTTTGTTAGTTTGGCTTGTAACTCTAACACAGGGGAAATCTAGAGCCTCTCTAGATTGAGCAACCCACCCCAAAATGTGGATACAAGTGGGACAGTAGGACCACAGCCAGCCTCATACCCTCAGGCCCAACGGGCCACTCGGTGAAAAGGCCAGTAGGCCAGGCGACGGCCGCCTCCAGCGCGAGCAAGTAGGAAATGCGCGTCAGCAACGGGGGAGGGACCGCGCTGGCCTTCTGAGCGCTGATTGGCTGGTGGTGCTGGTTGCCTGGTGCCATTTGTTGTTGGAGCGGCACGCCAGACGCAGTCGCAGTCGGCGTCCTGCACGTGCAGCCGTTTAAGCGGCGTCGGAGCCTGCGAGGCCCCGGGGAGAGCAAGCAGGGAGGTGAGTGGGCCTTTCTTTACTTAACCCTGGCCTCTGGCTGGTTCTGGCTGTCTGGGCTTCCCGGTGGCGGTCCTTGGGGCCGAACAAAGGGCAGAAGGGGTGGGCGGGGGCTGGAAGCCATCTTTTGGAGCCTTTACGCCCTCTGCCTGAAAGTCCTAACACTTCCTTGGTGCCCCAAATCTGGGCGTGAGGCCTGCAGAGGAGGCCGAGGAGTCGTCTTCCCAATCCTTCCGCTGCTTTTTCTCAGAACAAAGATGGTTGTGGTACCGTTGTATACTAGCGCTTTTCGCCGATTGTGACCTGATTTTCACCTTTGAAGGGACGTAAGCTAAGAGAGAAAGCTTGAGTGGTTTCTTAAAAAATTTTTCTCTCTGGGCGGTGCCCGTAACTCTACGGCACCGGCCACATACACCGAGGCTGACAGGTTTGAACCCGGTCCGGACCTGCAAAAACAATGACAGTTGCAACAACGGCAACAAAAATAGCCGGGCACTTGTAGTCCCAGCTACTTTGGAGGCTGAGGCAAGAGAATCATTTAAACCCAAGAGTTTGAGGTTGCTGTGAGCTGTGACGCCAGGGCACTCTACTGCGGGTGACAGCTTGAGACTCTGTCTCAAAAAAAAGAATTTTCCACCCTTAATGTCCAGTAAGTCAATTGGGGGACCTTTTGAGGGAGGAGGTAAATACTGTGAACAGACTGGAAAAAGCTTCACTGGGGTCATGGCCGTTGTTAGGATGGTTTGTTAAGTGCTTAAACTAGATTTTAAAGATAAAAAGGATGGCTATAAATGCCATTTCTAGGTAAGAAGCAATACCTAATTCGTCTTGCAAAAACTTTTGTGGAAAACCAGCACTTAGTTGAGTAGTTTCGAAAGGTGTATATGAAACAATGATAGTTTATGCTTCTAAAGATTTGATTCTGATCTAATCAAGGCAAACTGTACATGTTTGTTAATTTTTTTTTTTTTAATAAAAAACAGAACTTGAAGCCATCATGGGAGATGAAGATTGGGAGGCAGAAATCATCAAACCTCACGTGTCTTCCTATGTTCCTGTATTTGAAAAGGTAATAAAGTTTGCAGTTACTAAATGATACAGATTTTATCAAAGTTGAAAATCACTGTGGTGGGAAAGTTCTAAATTATAAAGTCTGCTTCAGTGCTTATGTGATTGTTATAAGCTATTTTACTGGGAATGAGAAAGAGGCATGCTAATCCTCAATTAGAATAAAATGGTCTGAGGTATTTTGCTATAATTAGAAGCTAAAATAAATGTAATAATATTAATGATCTAATTTAAACGTGAGTGATTTAGGGCTTATCACAGGTGAAAGCACATTGGCACAAATGTGGTTGAATGCCTCTGAGAGACATTTGTATGGAAAACTGAAAACAATAATTTAGTCCTGGATAATTTTTGAACTTCTGAAAATTGGAAATTGGCTTTGTGCAGGAGAGATCTCAAAATAAATATATTAGGCTGATTCAGATAAAATCAGTTTGTACGGATGATCAGATCTTTTTTTCTTACTGGCATATGAATAGTTAACATTGTAATTCAGAAGAAGGGGCACCTTGGGGTAAGTTTTGGGTTTTAATTCTGACTTGAGATTCAGGTGGAGAAAATGGAACAGTCAGTATTTCATGGCATCAAAGATAGTCTTCAAATACTGCTGTCACAAGTTTGATTGAAATTAACTGTATTTTGCCCTTGTAGCTGAGGGATACATCCCTTAATCGGATTTGTGGTGCAGCAGTGGGATGCATACATAGACAAATTGTTTTCAGTGCATAAGTGAATTTTCTTTATTTTAGGGTTAATTCTATTTTTAAAAAATGGGAATATATTATTTCACTTTAGATGAACAGTGGAGGTTTTTAAAATTTATGTAGTACTTTACTGTAGAAACCGTTACCCACTAATCTTCTGTACTCTACTCTGTGCAGTTTTGTTGAGTATAGGCAGTTCCTGGGTTGTGAACAAAGATAGGTTATATAGATTTGTTCTTAAATTGAATTTGTATGTGAGTTGGAACAAGTACATTTACATATACCTGTGATAGCCTCTGTTAATAAGTGCAAGTTGTACATAAATGGATATTTATAAGTTGGGGACTGCCTATATACTGTAATATATGAAACTGTGCAAACTAATATTGTATATTGGCAAGCATTGATTTATTCATGTGTTTCTTTGACCAGATTTTATCTACCTATTAATATATTGATTATACTTTTCAAGCACGTGGGTAATTTAAGTGACCAAATTCCTGAGTCAGGCATCAACAAACTTTCTGTAAAGTGCTTGGTAGCAAATGTATATCAGGTTTATGGTTTAGACTCTGTAGACCTTATGGTCTCCGTAACAACTTTGCTGTTGTAGTGCGAAAGCAACCATGGATAAACAGGTGAATGAAGTTGGCTGTGTTCCAGTACAACTGTGTACAGAAATGCATGGCTTACCAGATTTGGGCCATGGCTGTAGTTTGCAGACCACTGTTCAAAGTGACTATATTAATATGTTATATATGCCATGTTAAAGTGAAGATGACTTGGAATAATTAGAAAAGGAACATCCGGCTCGGCGCCTATAGCTCAACCGGCTAAGGCGCCAGCCACATACACCTAAGGTGGCGGGTTCGAATCCCCAGCCCGGACCCGCCAAACAACAATGACGGCTGCAACCAAAAAATAGCCGGGCGCTGTGGCGGGCGCATGTGGTCCCAGCTACTTGGGAGGCGGAGGCAGGAGACTCGCTTGAGCCCAGGAGTTGGAGGTTGCTGTGAGCGTGATGCCATGGCACTCTACCCAGGGGGACAGCTAGAGGCTCTGTCTCAAAAAAAAAAAAAAAAAAGAAAAGGAACATCCAGTAATCCAGAAGGCCTTATGTTCTGTCATTGTTTTGTTCTGGACAAAGCTCAATTGTTAAAATTTTCTACTACTTGTGAAATAGTAGTTGATGCATTCTTCTTATTATTATTCAAACTAGGAAACTTTTCTTTTGTCCTTTTTTACAGGATAGGTATTCTTCTGGAGCAAATGGAGACACGTTTAATAGGACTCCCTCTTCATCATCAGGTATGTGGTAAGGCAAAATGGTAAAATGCTGGTTTAGGTTAAGGACTTCATTTAGTGAATGACATCTTGTAGAGTGTGTTGTTTATATTTCCTAGTGAAAATTCATTCTGATTTGGCTATTTTGTGAAAGGGGAACTTCTAGCTAGAAGAAGAGAGAAAAGGGAGAGTGTATTGCTGTAGAGACTGTTTGGTTTGATTTAGTGGGTTGCTGTAAAACTTTTGCCCAACCTGGAAGTTGCATATTTGGTTTTCAGATTGCTAGGGCATTGTCAGGATTCCTGACATGAAGGAGTGAGACACTGGACTACAAGATTGTTGAAGCAGGTTACAATTGTGGTAAACTATTAGGATAAAAATTGTTTAAGCCTTAAGCCAGCCCTTCCATACCAGCAAGATACCATGAGTTTCTTTGAGATCAGAAAACTAATTTAGGAAAAATGTGTCAAGATAAATGAGTGTCAAGATAAAGGAGCTGGGCTCGGCACCCGTGGCTCAAGTGGCTAAGGCGCCAGCCATGTACACCCAAGGTGGCAGGTTCGAATCCAGCCTGGGCCCGCCAAACAACAATGATGACGGCTACAACCAAAAATAGCTGGATGTTGTGGCAGGTGCCTGTGGTCCCAGCTACTCAGGAGGCTGAGTCTAGGAGTTGGAGGTTGCTGTGAGCTGTGATGCCATAGCACTCTACCCAGGGGGACAGCTTGAGACGCCTGTCTCAGAAAAAAAAAAGATAAAAGAGCTAGTATTCTTCTGGTGCCCCTTTATTTTACCCTATCTTTCTGCACTTATTTTTTTCACCTAGGTGTCCAACTCTATTTTATTGAGTTTATGTGGATGGGAAGATGAGTGAAAGTTATAGGACTTAGACTAGGCAATTAAACTCAAGGCAGTAATCCTTTCACAGTATTAGAATCTAAAGCAGGCTGAAATTCCACTGTTACTACATAAACTGTTTTTTTCAGTTTTTGACTGGGGCTGGGTTTGAACCTGCCACCTCCAGCCTATGGGGTGGGCACCCTACTCCTTTGAGCCTCAAGTGCTACCCTACATAAACATTTTTTATTGCAAAATATTCATAACGCAAAATTTACCATTTTAATATGTATAGTTCACATACACGTTACAGTGTACCACATACTCTTATTTATTTATTTTATTTTCTTATGAGACAGTCTCAAGCTGTCACCCTGGTTAGAGTGCCGTTGTGTCACAGCCCACAGCAACCTTAAACTCTCGGGCTTTAAGCGATTCTCTTGCCTCAACCTCCCAAGTGGCTGGCACTACAGGCATCTGCCACAAAGCCCAGCTATTTTTTGTTGCAGTTGCCATTGTTGTTTGGCGGCTGGGGCTGGATTTGACCCCGCCAGCTCTGGTGTATGTGGCTGGTGCCCTAGG